ACGTAACGGAATACGTTACAGAATACATTTTGGGGCATGTATTCTGTATTCTGTAATGGAATACATTTTAAAAGTAACCTTCCCAACACTGGTAATAGTCATCTCTGATTTGCAACAGACGCTATAAACCAAAAAAAAGTGCAGTGTTCATGGACAAGTTAGTCCATGAACACTGCACTTTTTTTGGTGCAAGGTCTCGCGGGATTGCAGTGACAGAGAGCACATTTGACCCTGCACATTTCAGCTGTGTTTCACAAGCTCCGTAATATTTCCTATGGTGAGATCAGCAAGCTCGTCTCTCAACAGACGTCCTTTGCTTTTTTTGCTCCAAATTTAACTTGGAGGACTGACTACAGGCTGTTTATTTAACTTACTGTGTAGTGTCACCATCATACAATAAACAAATAATAAACAAATATGTGACAATAAACAAATATTTTCTCTAGAATTTCTTTAGATTTGATTTACCTAACCCTGTGACATTACAACAAATAATGTGTCTTCTTTTATGAAACAGGAAGTGAGCCTGCTGCAGGCTGCGTTCATCAGATGAGCACTTTATAGCTCCCTGATTCTCTCTAATGCAAATGTGCAGCAAGATTATCCTGCCGGTTTGTGTTGGGCTGTGTTTTATGGCTGGAAACTGCTGCATTCATCTGAATGCGACACGATGAGTCAGTCAAATCTGAGTTTGGCATCTGTTTGGTAACAGACAGGAAGGCTTTAAACCCAATTAGTGTGCTAAAAAAATAAATAAAAATAAACTCCCCACACAAAATACCACTTGGCTAAATGTTCCAGCAAGTATTAATGAGACAGAGTCTACTGGGTACGTTTATGAAGACACCAGCAGTGAGTCACTAGGACCACTAGATGCCTCCATTTGTTACCACAAGAATGTTGCTCCACAGTCTGTTTTAATATGGAAAAAAACACCACTTTAATAATTTTCTTACTGTTCTTTATAAGTTCTACATTGCACTTCATTAAGCTTTCCGGGAAGTGAGCATTTTAACACCTCTGTGAGATTACATCACATTTCAGTAAAATTGCTGTGTGGTATCAATTGTGTGAGAGAGAATGAGGAAGTGATGTCAGAGTTTGATGTTTCTGCGTGGCAGCTAGTGAACCGGACAGTTCAAGGCCACTGGATAAATCTTTCTTTGTATCATTAATTAGATTAGATCATAGCTTAATGGTGGAAAAAAGGAAAAGGGGAATGGGAAGATGAAAGCCAGAGAAGTTCATTTAGCTGACTGCAGTAGGAGAAAGGTGAGGATGTGTGGGAGAGATATATTGATGGAAAGGAGAGGACTCTGAAGTGGGTCATAAATAAGAAAGGGCAGAAAGAGAGAAAGTGTTTAAGGACACAAGGTTTAGTTTAGCAAGTCACTTGAATTTTATTGAGGAAACTGGAGAGACTGGTGTGAACCTGTTGTGACACCAGCTATAAGAGAAATGTTTTCAGACCGTGATCCTCTCTAAAGGCAACCTAGTTTGTTTTCCCCCTGCAGATATGAGCCAACATCTCAGGCTTTAGTTTTTATTTCTTTGTTTTTCATCACTATTATTATTTTTTTTAACTCCTGGGTTTGTGTTACACAAATAA